CTTGCTGTCCCCAAATTGCAGAGCAGAGTGGAGGATGTTTGTTTTCCCCATCCTTCTGGGCCTTGCTAGTTATCACATAGGGCCAGAAGAAGGTTTTTTGCTTTGTTTTGTTTTGTTTGGATTTTGGCCTCAGAAGTATTTGGGGTTTCTTGCAGCTGAGGATTTTGACTTTGGTATGACAGTGCTACTGCTAGACTCAAACTTGGAGGTTCCTGCTCCGAAGGTATTGCCCCTTTGGCCAGGATCAGACCAATTGCCACATTTGGGATCAGGAAGGAATTTTACCTTGTGGTCAGATTGGTACACACTGTCGGGGCTTTTGCCTTCCTCTACAGCAAGGTTTGTGGTCCTCTTCCTTGGGTGTGTCAAGTGCATTTTAACAACCATTGAAGTGGCAGGACATTGACAGGCCTCATCCCTCTGCTTTACTTGTGTCGGTTTAGGGTACTTTTGGTGTCATCGGGAAATATGCTTTGTATGATGGGTGATTATATACTTTTAGAAATAGTTTAGACAAGGATTTGTATGAGATGGTTCAGATTAGGGTGATCATGCCTTAAGCAGGGGATTGAACTAGATGATCTCTGGAGATCCAACACAACCCTACTTCCGTATGAGTCTATGAACTCCATTCTGCTGGGTGGAGTGAACTTGGGGAGTCCATGCAATGGGTGGGGACTCTGAACAGAGCACTGTAGTAGGCAACCCTGGCAGTAGGATGCAGTCAATGGACCTTTTGTTATAAACATCTTCATGCTCCTGTAGATGGGAACAGAGGTGGCAGAAAGCTCAAGGGTTGTCATCCACTTCGGAGTCTCTGGGGTGCCAGATAGAGCAGCTCCAGGCTGCATTCCAGAGACTGCGTGCCATCAGGGGTGGTGAGCAGGAGATAAACTCCAACTGCCAGGTCCTTCACCCCCGGAGGCAGAGGGTAGACCAAGCTCACCTTCCGGGACAAGGGAGGACTCGAGGATCTGTCCGGGCATACTGCCAGGCAGGGGATTGGACCAAGGTGGTCAACGGACCCAAGGCCCGCTGCACCAGGGTTCCCTTCCCTCTGGAGCTTTGCAACGGGTACGAACCTCTTGCAGTCCCAGTCAAGCCTGCAGAGCTGCCAGCTCCTGCAGGCAACACAGACTTACCCACAGCTACTGTCCCTGTTCTCCCTAAGGCCACACGTAGAGTGGTTGTCATGGGAGACTCCCTCCTGGGGGGGACTGAGGGTGTGATCTCCTGCCCTGACCCCTTATCCCAGGAGGTCTGCTGCTTCCCAGGAGCCCATATCTGGGACATAGCAGAGGATTGCAAAAATCATCTGGCCCACTGACCACTACCCTATGCTCCTTATCCATGTGGGCACGAATGACACGGCTCGGAGCAATCCCAGCCCGGTCATGAGATGCTACAGGGCTTTGGGGGCAGGGCTTACGGGGTTGGGGGCACAGGTGGTATTTTCCTCAATCCTCCTGGTTTCGGGCTATGGGCCGAGGAGGATTGAAGTAGTTAACCAAAGACTGCAGTGCTGGTGTCATTGTGAAGGCTTCGGCTTCCACGAAAACAGTCCACTCTTTGGTGAGAGAGACAGTGGTCTGCTGGGAAGAGATGGCCTCATCCTCACTGCACTGGGAAGGAGGCTCTTCTCAGCCAGACTGGCTGCCCTGCTCGACTGGGCTTTAAACTAAGCCTGCCGGGAGACTGGGGGGGAGGAAAGATGACAGGGACTACTGCCACAGCAAGCCCACTGGGCAACTTTTTCAAATGCAGCAGGCTAAGGCGCTCAAGGGAACCCA